TTAAACATGTCTTTTATTTATTATTATTTTTTTAATTTAAATTTATTTTTATTTAACTCCCACAGCCTTTGGTAAAACTGTCTTGGAGCATTACAGGACTCTTAGGCTATGTGAACTTGTTCTCTCATCTTCTCTCTCTACATAAGGCTTTGCAGTTGGGAGTTTTTGATTTGATCCCAACTCCACCATATATGTAACCTTGGATAAACTACATATCCCAGAATACCTATTATACCCTTCATATAAAATTTAAGAATCTTATGACAATATACTTCCAATTCTTCTCTCCCATCCACCCTTTGGGCCATTGTGATCACACATTTTATTTCTACATATGTTATAAACCCCATATGTTATAAACAGTAAAAAACTTTTGTTCTTTTTACTTCAAACCGTATCAAATTTGGAAACATTTTGGCTATTATTTCAAGTATTTTTTTCTGCTCTCCCTCATTTTTGAGGGGCTTCAATTATGTTAGATCACTGGATTTTTTTTAAGTTTATTATATTATTTGAGAGAGAGAGAAAGAGGGGGGGAGTGTGCATGGGGGGGTACAGAGAGTGAGGAAGAGAGAGAGAGAATCCTAAACAAGCTCTGTGCTGTCAGCACGGAGCCCCACATGGAGCTCTATCTCATGAACTGTGAGATCATGACCTGGGCCCAAATCAAGAGTCAGACGCTTAACTGACTGAGCCACCCAGGTGCCCCTGGATCACCTGATACTGTCACATGGATCACTGAGGCTTTGTTTTTTTAAGTCTTTTTCTCTGCTCCACTTGGGCTGGTTTCTATTGCTATGTCTCAAGTTCAGTAATTTTTTTCTCTTGCAGTGTCTATTCTTGTTAATTCCATCTCTAGAAATTCCATTTGGTTTTTTTCTCTCATACCTTCCACTTCCCAATGTTCATGTTTCATGGAGTTCCACTCTATTCATGTATACTTTACTCGAGCAAAGACTCAAGGGGACCTTCAATGTGACTCGATCCTCTGGAATTCTGCCCTACAAATACTGTCCACCCTCCACTCCTGTACTCTGGTCTCTCTCTCAGGTCAGGAAGTCCCCTGGGCTCTCCCTGTGCCCTGGTCTAGAGTGTGTTTCTAGGCAGAAAACCAGGGCAATCACTTCATGTGTTTCCCTTCTCTTAGGGATCGCAGACTTGTGTTGCCTATTGTGCAATGTCTAATCATATTTGTTTTATGCATTTTTGCCTAGTTTTCTGGTTTTTTATGGTGAGAAGGAATATCTGATTCCTGTTACTCCATCATGACTAGAAGTGAAAATTATGGGTAAATTACTTAACCTCTCCCCACTTCACCCATTTTGCCCATTCCTCCCACCCTGAATGAAAGGCATTATTAACCCCATTATATAGATGAGAAGGTTTAAATAAATTGTCCAAAGTCAAACAGCTGATAAATGTAGAGATGGAATCCTTCTAATTCCAAAGCCCATATTATCCTATGGGTTAGAAGAGCTTAAGTGGCACCTGGGTGGCTCAGTTGGTTAAGTGTGTAACTCTTGATTTCAGCTCAGGTAATGATCTCATCGTTCATGGGTTCGAGCCCCACATCAGGTTCTGCACTGACAGCACAGAACCAGCTTGGGATTCTCCTTCCCCCATCTACCCCCCCCCCCAACTTGTTCTCTGCCTCTCTAAATAAATAAATACATAAATAAACATCTTTAAAAAAAAAAAAAGAGCTTCAGACAGTGCCTGGCACACAGTAGGAATTTGAGAATTCCAACATTAGACTCCGTCTTTACTCTGTTACTCTCCCTGATACCCAGCAGTTCAAAGGATATAAAATTTTATTAGATACCAAAGTTTATATTGGGAAATCCAATTTCTAGCATTGGGTCCTTTCTCTTCACATCCTGCTGGGATTTTTTTCTCTTAAAAAGCTCTCGAATCCATTGATTTTTCTTTGCCTTCATTACCACCCTTCTAGTCCAGACTACTGGCCCCTGCCTGAGTCCTTCTGCCTTGTTCCTGGCGCCTACTCTGGCCTCTCTGACTCACTTTCTTCATCACAGCCCTGGTGATTCTTTCAAAATGCAAATCTGATCAGGTCCGTGTCTTGCTTAAACTGTTCAGAGACCCTTGAGAATACAGTCTAAGAATCTTTGTTAAAGTCCACAGGACCTGCACGGTTTGGCCCCGACCTGGTCCCTGGCTACTTCTCATACTGCACTTGCACTTGCATCCAATCTCCCACCCAACTCATTATCCTGTTGTTATTTCCCCAAAATATGCTGTCACACATCAGGGTTTTCACCTTTGCTCACGTGTCTGTGTGGTAACAAATTGCCATTTTAATGAAAATGTCTAGGTTCTTCTAACTGCTCATTTTACCTGAGACCCTTCGCTCATCCTCTGGGACTTGCCAAGGCCTGGCTCTGGTTGGCCATTCAGGCAAGCTCTTAAGCCTCGGTCCTTACACTGACTCCCTATCACAGAATCCACAGTGTTTCAGTTTGCCTGATGAATTCAGTAGGAGAACACTGGCTCCTGAATGAGGATTATCATTCTGCACATGCTTGTTTCACAAGATGGTCCTAGGATTATCAACTCAACATGTTGATAAAGCACACACTGGCAACTATGACTAACCTTGGATGACTCTTTTCTGATACTAGAGAAGACCTGGAAATTTCTTTCAGTCTCTTTGTTCCCAGATAGAATGAGCCCCACACCTCTCTACCTTCAGAGCTCCCATGGGAGCGAAAGGGCTAGGATCCATAAATGGCTTTGAGTTCCTTGGTGAGAAACTGTGCATATGTAAATATTACATGCAGAAGTCTGTAATGGGAGTGTGTAATAAAGCCTGACATCATCTTTGGGAGCATGCAGTGTTGCTCAATGGAGTGGGACTATTGAAATGACCCACTAAAAGTCCATGAGAAAAACATGGAGAGGGAAGGTAGTTTCTGGTAGGAGGTGGGTGGAAGGCTTCTCGAGGGATTGTGGCTTCTTTTACTGTATCCTCGTCAGAGCTTTGCCTAGTATGGAATATACAGGAGTTGCTCAAGATAAACTATCACCTGCAAAGGTTATCAGAGGTGATTCTGTGCTTGGGACAGATCATTGAGAACCCATCCACTGCAATGAGATCACCTCTGGCAGAAGTGGTTGCTTACTAGACCTGGCTGGGTGTTTCTGGCCCTGGATCAGCTGGTTAGATTGTAGGCTGGTTTCAGTGAGGGGTGAAGAGGCACCTCCCCACATGGTGGCCTAGTCTCCTCTTACACATATCTCACCCCAAAACTACGAATCTCACCTTTAGAATTCAATTCCATTGGTTTATTGTCCCCTAGTTAAAACGGGAAAACCTTGAGATGGCACCTGGCTGGCTCAGTCAGTGGGACACAGGACTCTTGATCTTGGGGTTGTGAGTTCAAGCCCCATGTTTGGTGTAGAGATTATTAAAAAAAAAAAAAAAAAGCAGTTTTTTTAAAAAAACAAACACCTTGCTGTGAATGGTGAATGAGTTTTCTTTTTCCCTAGCAGGACTTCTGGTGAAGAAACACACCCCACCAGATGAGAGAGGCAGAGGTAAAACTTGAGGAAAACAGCCTGCAAAGAAACCCTCCTCTCGATTCCATCAGATCTTGAGAAAGGGCACTGGTTCCCAGAAGGAGCCCAGAAGGTGGAGAATGGGGCAAGGAGGGGGTCCCACAGCCAAATACTAGCATGTAGCTTTGGCCAAGATTTAGCTAATTGTGAATTGAGACAGGGTGAAGGAAAACTTGTCCCACAAAGGAATTTCTCCGGCACTCACAAGGCCCATTTACACAGGCTCAGTCATGGCATGATTAGGAAACAGTTTGGAAGCCACGACTGTCACTGCCAAGGAGAGCTGGGTTCAGAGCTAGGAAGCAGGACCTCAGGGCAGAGGCACTGGTGTTTCTGGAACCAGAGATTCAGACTCAGACTTACTGGCTTGACCTGGTCTACCTCCTCACATGTTTTCCTCACCTGCTTACCCATGCCTGACATTCATTTTAATGGGGAGCAAACTCTGCATTTAGGAAGGGAGGGAGAGAGGGGGAGGAGAGAGAGAGAAAGGATATGAGAATGCATTCATGACTTTGAAGGAGGTAAAGAAAATCCAGCTGGGCTTGCCTGAGGGTGGGTGGTCTACCATGGTATAATTTTGCTCAAGTCCATCCCAATGAGGAAAAAAAATCTTTCCTTCACAACAGCAACGGAATAATTTCGGATAGCTTTAAGGTTGCCCAGAACAGTAAACAGAAGAAAACAAGGGTTTAAACGAAGAATATGAAGTGGGTAGGGCGCGACAAGGTGGGAGGCTCACATTTATCCGAGTTCCTTAAAGGTTCTCAAACTGCCATTCCAAAATGCAGTGCTGCCCTCTGCTGGCTGAGTGTGGTGTAGTGCATCAAAACCAAGGACGACTCCCACCCAAGTCCTTTCCCACATTTGGGAAAGACAGAAAAGACTCAACGTGAGGCAGGAGGCAAATCAAGCACGGAACGACTGTCCAACCACCAGGACCCCTCAGAAAATACCCCTGAGTGTCTTTGGCTTCGAATTTAAGGAGGTATATCTAGCTTCTCCTGCCTGTGCTTAGCAAATTGGGTCAGACTGGTGTAAATGTTCAAGGAACAATGACTCTGAGCACCAGCTACCGGCCTGGAGAGCTCCCCTCAGAGACTCTGCAGTGCTCTGGGGATAGGGGCTGCGTGCACTATGGAAAAGTCCGCCATATTCTTCCCCTGGCTCCTGGCTCTACACCTGTTGGCCAAAAAGCCCTTTGAAGGAACTTTCCCACTACACCGTTGACCGTGGCCCCCTGGCATTGCTGATTCCCGACTCTGCCACAGTTGCCAGGCTCACAGGTGCCAGCTTCTGTGCAGACAAAGCACAAGGGCCCAGCAGAGATTCAGGATTTATTCAGATATACTTGTATGACCAAATATCTCAAGTTAGATGCTCTCAGTTGCCTGCTAATGTATTTGGGTATTAAAACAAGCTACTATGCTTAGGGGCTTTTCTTTATTCTTGTAAAACCAGATCTCAGCAAATGGATTATAAAATCAAGATTGAAAATTCTGCTAGTATTTCCTCTCTATTCTCTTATAAGGTGTCACTCAAAATCTGCTTTCGTTTTCTTCAGAGGCTTTTGAAATTTCCCATAATGAAGTGTGGGTGCATATTCATTAAGTCCCTTAGGATGAGAAATGGAGCCTAAGAGAGAAGGTGTCTTCAGCACAGCTCCCCAGTAATCGGTGGTATTAAGTATTGGGATTAAACTGCTCCTTGGAGAGAAAAAAAAGAAAGTGTTTATGGGTTTATGTATTTTTCTCAAAGGCACACTGGGAAACATGAAACATGGGTCTGATTTCAGAGGCTGGCAAATGGAAGCATATCTAATTTTTAAAAGCAATTACCATGCAAGTTATTATATCTGACACAAACAAACCAGGCCCCAAAACCCTGAGGTGCCTTCAGCATCTGGAAGAAGCTGATGAGGCAGCAGTGATCCGAATCTGAGGATGCTCAGCCATTACTCCTCAGGCCTTGGCTGATATTTTTATTACTACAGTGGGGAGCCTCATGTCTCTCCTAATGCCAGATGAGGACCCATCTCAGCCCTGATAGGAGATAATGGAAGCAACAGACTTTGCAGAGGACCTAAACCATAAGACACATGTATTGAAAGTTGTCGCCCAGTTGGTTCCATAGGTGTGCAACCAGTGTGATCACATAGGCCCCATGCTTGCAAGGGCCTACACTCAAAAGGGTCCAGCACTGGATGACTGGGGGGCTTAGTCAGTTAAGCATCTGATTCTTGATTTCGGCTCAGGTCATGATCTCCTGGTTTGTGGGTTCGAGTCCTGAGTTGGGCTCTGCACTGAGCATGAGCCTGCCTAAGATCCTCTCTCCCTCTCCCTCTGCCCCTCCCCCCTTTCTCGTGCGTGAGCCCACGTGCACACATGCACTCTTGCTCTCGCTCTCTCTCTCAAAAAAAGGGTCTTGCACTTGGAATTTATGCTCTGTGGTCACGATCTTGATACTTTGACTTTTAATCATTTCAAGAATTATTAAACAAGGGGCACCTGGGTGACTCATTCAGTTCTGACTCTTGATTTTGGCTCAGGTCATGATCCTAGAGTTGTGGGATCCAGCCCCACGTCAGGTTCCTCACTAAGCATGGAACCTGCTTGAGATGCTCTCTCTCACTCTCTCTCTCTCTCTCTCTGCCCCTATCCCCAGCGCTCTCTCTCTCTCAAAAAAAGAATTATTAAACAATATAATTTTAAGCATAATTTTACCCTTCTTCATAATGTTATCTTTGAATTTACATTTTGTAAATAAAGTCTGATGGCACAAAGAAGCGTGCATTGGGGCTTGGAGACTCCGCTCATGAATGGTCTGCCTCTCACTGCCTCTCTGCCTCTTTGGTTGGGATGGGCTCTTGGCTGTCCTCTGCTCCCTGGTTCCCCTGGTCCTGCCTAGCTCCCCTCTCCCTGCCCTCATGCATGCCCTCACTGCTGCCACCCCCTGCCCTGGGTAGGGGCCTGCATGTAGGTACAGGGAGAATGACAGTTGACCATGTGTACCCAGGGCTGCCAGTGCCACAGTACATTAGGCAGGCAGCAGCAGGGGTGAATCCCTTACCACAGCTGCTCCAGGTACTGAGCATGTCCTGGCACAGAGGTTTAATCCTTTTAGGGCTCTCCCATCCATCGTGGGTTTTGCCTGGAGCATGGCATGTCAGTCTGGTGGCTGGCTAAAGAGGAATCCCAGAGCTGATGGGCTGTGTGTGCTCATGCAGTCAGCGGGCAGCTCACCCTCAGTGTCTGTGAGGGCTTGCACTCATCTTACAAACATCCCTGTGCCCAAAGCAGGGATAGCAGATAAGAAACACCACAAGATAGCAGATAAGAAACACCACGAGAGTGTGAGAAAGAGAGACCATGGAAGAAAAGAAAGTTTCATATTTTAATGCTTTTAATGGCATGTTTTCCTTCCTTTTTGCAGTTTTTAAATTTTTTTAATTTTTTAAGTTTATTTATTTTGAGAGAGAGAGAGAGAGAGAATCCCAAGCAGGCTCTGCACGGTCAGCACAGAGCTCAATGTGGGACTCGAACTCACGAACCATGAGATCATGACCTGAGTTGGAACTGACGGTCGGACGCTTAACTGAGCCACCCAGGAGCCCCGGTTTTTTTTAAAGTAAGCTCTACACTCAACATGGGGCTTGAACTCACAACCCTGAGATCAGGAGTCATATGCACTACTGAGGCACCTCTTTCCTTGCTTTTTGAATAAGGGACCCTGTGTTTTCTTTAAATGCATGTATGTATGTATGTATGTATGTATGTATGTATGTAATCTCTTCACCCTGTGTGGGGTTCTAACTCATGAGCCTGAGATCAAGAGTCTTGTGCTTTTCCGACTGAGCCAGCGAGGCGCCCCGAGACCCTGTATTTTCATTTCATTCATACCACCATAGGGAGCTAGCCCTGGTGGTAGCAGATGGTAGGGACCCTCTTCTGGTTCTGTCCATATGGCATCTGAAGTTACTGGGCTCTTATTAAAGATGATTTATCAGGTTTTCATGGCTTCAGATGAACTTCTCAAGGGGCCATGGGGTGAGAGTAGGTAGCCACTGACAACCTCAGAATAATAAGAATAAAAATTTGTTGAATGAATTGGTGAATAATCAAATGAATAAAACAACGAACTAAGGAAGACAGCAGGCATAAGTGTGTGATGGGCTCGGAATATGATTCTGCCAGGGTTATTTGTCTTCAATCAGGCAGGAAAGATTTGTGGCACAGAGAACCCTTGAGGGCTCTGGGGGAAGGGCAGCTCCTGAGTCTCGCTGTAGAGGCTGCTCTGGGCAGTCCAGGCTCCTTTGCTGGTCAGTATCTCCTACTGTAAATCCCCACTCCCTCCTTTAATGGTGATGTCCAGAAGACATTCATACTGTACAGCAATAGGACTTTTGTAATGAGAAAAGACAGAAGCCTTGATATAGAATTTCTCTTGCTGGGAGAAAATACCTGCACATTACGAACCTCTATTGATTTGTCTCGCCAAATCCCAAGCTGCAATAATTTCAGAGACTTATTCACAGGGAGCATGGCTGATAGTTGATCAGAATGCCCCATGGTATGCACTGTGCCCCAGCTCCCTTCCTCCCTGTCTGTCCAGTGCCTCCTCAGCTGGTCTCTACCGTCCCTTGAAGCCCTCTCTGCCTGCTCCAGAGTCCTGAGCTTTCTCTTCTGAGCTTGTGTAGCATGGAGTTGGACTCTCTCTTTTCTAGGTGAGCTATTATTGCCGCATTTGCTGTGTGGGCTTTAGAGGCTCCTTCCTTCTCTGAGGTGAAGGACTGTGTTGTCCCCTTCCCTTGAATTGCTCTGAAGGCCAAACCCAGGTCTGGACACCAAGTACTTTGACTCTGCTGTGGCCACTCAGCCCTCCACACTGTTCTCCATCACCCTGGACCTGTCCCCACCACAGGTCCTTTGCACTTGCTCTCCCCCTGCCTGGAAAGCCCTTCCCCCACCTCTCTGCAGGGCTTGATCCCTCCTCTCTTTCAGGCCTTTGCTCAAATGTCACTCCATCAATGAACTCTGACCACACTGCTGAGCATTCCAAACCTGCTCTTACTCCCTTCGTCCCCTTTCCCATTCCTCAACTTTATTTTCCTTCAAACTACTTTCACCATCCAGCATACTAAATATTACACTTATTTGTTTATTGTCTACCTTTCTTCTCTAGAAGGGACATTCTAGAAGGATGGTGACTTTGTCGGTTTGCTGATGTATCCTTACTTTCTAGAACAATTCCAGGCAGGTGGTAGATGTTCTAAGACAATGTGTTCAATTAAACAGAGAACACGTGCCGCAGATTCTTACTTCCTTCCACTGAAATCCCACTGCATGGTTTGTGGTTCTTGGAGGCTGCATGCCCTCTCAGGGTCGGAGACACTAAGGGAGTAACTTGGGGGATAATTTGCTACTTATCTGAGTCCTGGATGGTCATCAAGACTTGTAGTCAGTAAAACCAATAACATGCATGCTCCAGGCCCTGCTGGCTCAGCTATTTAGGGCCTATGCTGGGGAGGCCAGAGTCACATGTCCCCTCCCCGTGTGGATCATGGCACCTGGCTGAGTTCCACGGTCCAGCCAGGGTGGAGGGAAACAGAATGAGAAGATGTGGACAAACTGGGAGAGGATGGAGCTGAGCAAATGCTCAGTGACTGTGCACCGAGGTCCTGCTGGAGTGAAGGAGTCTGGGAACAAGGAGGCCTATTCTGCTGTTGAGCAAGTTAGAGATCCTTCTGTTCTATGAGCCAGTTGACAGCCAGAGCACAGTGTTCCATGGGAACCACGAGGGAAGGAGCTACAGGCTTCAGATGAGACTGGGCTCTGGGGGGGGGGGGGTGTCTCTGGGTGGGCTCAGCTTTTAGGGTAGTGTTTAGTCTGAAAGAGAAAGCAGGAAAAGCAATCAGGTAGAGGAGGGGCAGTCTCAAAGGTTACCTGCAGGAAACCTCAAGGAGCAGTGAGGAGGTGGCAGAACTAAGGTGCAGAGGGACAGTGGCACCAGGTGGAGGGGACATTCAGATGAGGGAGGACCCCGGAAGGTTTCAGAGGAGGAGTGGGCAGAAAGGTGTGAGCTCTTCCAAGTTGGCATGTTGTAACAGCTGCTGAGCCAAATAGGGCAGTGGAGGCGTTCTTAGCCCCCAGAGGTGGACTTCAAGAGCCCACAAACCCTCTAAATTTGGAGGCACAGTTTTATGTCATTGGTATAAGTTCAGTTTTCAAGGGAGAGTGTCCATTACTTTTATGTAGTTTCCAAAGCTCAAGAATGACTGAGTAGTGGGCATTGCTCGTGCCCCTCCCTCAGCCTTCGTGTCCACCCCTTCCTCAAAGAGCCCACATCCAGCAGGAGAAGAGGGCCCAAGCCCCAGCTCCTGGGGTCTCTGGTCGGCACAGCCAGTGGGCACCCTCCATTCCTCTGAGCAGCGCTTTCACGGGGGCCCCTATGTCCTGGGTTGTTCAGTTAGGGGGACTCTCAGGAGTCTTGCTTCTAATTGTTTTTTATTTTTTTTAATATTTATTTATTTTTGAGAGACAGAGAGAGACAGAGCACAAGCAGGGGAGGGGCAGAGAGAGAGGGGGACACAGAATCTGAAGCAGGCTCCAGGCTCTGAGTGGTCAGCACAGAGCCCGATGCGGGGCTCGAACTCACGAACAGCAAGATTGTGACCCAAGCCAAAGTCAGACGCTCAACCAACTGAGCCACCCAGGTGCCCCGCAGGAGTCTTGCCTCTAATGTTGGGTTAGACCTGTTTCCTCTTTTCCTGGGGACATCTGTGGCTTGCCTGAGCCATCTGGCCACCAGGCTAGGGGTGTGGGCAGTGCAGGAGAGAGGGCAGAGCCCAGGGAACCACAAATAAATCCTGGAGCCAGGCCTGGATTAAAGCACCTCTGAAAGGAAAAACCCTCTGTGTGCTTTTTAGTGCACTTAGGGACAAAAAGAGTAGAGAGTCTAACAAAAAACCTTGCGGTGTCCATTATTTATATTGTTCAAAGTATAAAAAAATATGGAAACGCCTTTGCTGACAAACTTTCCATTGCCAATTATGCAGATACCACAAGCTATAAGCAAGAGCAAAAGGGCATTACCTCTGTGGGCTCCACGATGGCGTCAGTGGCCAACTCCCACGGAGAGCTAGCTGGGGGCTAGCTGGTGTTTTCAGCTTGTTCTTGAAGTTCAGGACCAAGCCTCTTGTCTTCCTATGCTCAGATCTGGATGGGCTGGCCCCAGCCCAGGGCCAGCTGTGAGTTTTCTCTTATTGGAACAGAAGCATTTGAGGCATATGTGTGTTCTAGCTCCCCGCACGTTTTTAATCACAAGGGAGACAGATGCTGTGACGTCTTGTTAGCGAATGATGGAGAGCACGCATGTCTGCCACAAGCGGAAGAGGTCTTGAGTCTGTGTCCTGAAAAGGGGAAACCGAAGTAGAAAAGGATTCTCTTAAAACAAACCAAAACACCTGGTCTCTGCCAAGCACGTGCCCCTCTCAAGTCTTCAGCTTCCAAGTTCACTTCTGGGCTTAGCTGTGGCAAAAGATGGCTGAAAACCTGAAAGCAATTCCTCATTTGCAAGTCAATGGACAGAGTTTTAGATGGAAAGGAAAACACACACACACACACACACACACACACACACACACACACACACCACAGTAGAGTTAAAACCCCTCTTCTTCTTTCTGCTTATTAGGAACAGTCCTGTATGTTTCCCTTCCCAGAACTTTCTAGGAGAAACCAATGGCTTCTTGGCCCCTAAAGGCAGATCTAGAAAGGCCTTGGAGATGGAGAAAGAGAACCCGAGGGCATAATGACGTAAGGCTTGGCACGGGCAGCTGTGACCTGGTGAGCTGGGGCTGGGAGGAAAAGTAATATAATGATCACAGCTCACATTCATCGGTGTCCATAGGTGCCACGCGCTGTTTCACGTCCCTTACATTTAGTCTTCACTATAGATACTGAAACTCAAGCATAAGCAACGTGTCCACAATCACACACAGCTAGAAAGTGTATCATCGGTGTTGAAGCCCTGACAGTTGGGTTCCAGAAACTTTGCTTTTAACTCCAGGATGAGAGGGCTGTGGCCAGGAGTCCAAGAGGTGGGGCAGCAAGAGTAGTACCTGTGGTTTGCAGAGGGTTCACTTACCCGGGTGGATTTGGGTTTTCACAGAGCAGTGAGTTTCCCCCCAAACTGAATAGTTACCCTTTTATTTTGTGAAGTGAAAACATTCACAAAAATCTTCTAACATCATTTCATGAGACAAATGCAGTTTCAATGCAAAGAAGGACACAATCTCAGAATAATGGCCAGTCCTTCCCCTTGAATAAATCTACCTTTGTGAATGCCTCCCTCCGCTGACCTTATTTTCCTCATCTCACCCTGGGCTGGTGAAAATGTCCTCACAGTTGCCACCTGTCACAGAAGCCTTATGTGGGGACCACGGCAGTGCCTCCTCTGACCCTCGTAAACCTTCTGCAAGGTAGGCAGGAAAGTCCTGTTATTCCCCACTTTCTCAAAGAAGAAACCAAAGCCCCGAGAAGTCAAAAAATTTAAGGACACACAGTTTTGAAAAATGGCAGAGCCAGGTGACAAACCCAGGCATTTGGCTCCAGGTACAGTGCCCCTTCCTGTGTACCTCAAGCCATTTGCCAGATGAACTGACTGCCCACCAGGTTGATTCCCACGTGGGGACCTGAATGTTCAGAAAGAGAGGGAGCATTTATAAGTGTTGTTTCCAACAACAGGGCTCAGAATGTAGTAGTGCATAGTTGAGAGGCAGTCTCTGGATTCAGGACAAGATGAGAAGCCCCTTAGGGGTAAGGAAGGAGCATATTTTCTCGAGCATATCTTCTCTCTCATCCCCAGGCCTAGCACAGGGCACACAGGGCTGGCAAGAAATCCTTGCAGCTTAGGCATGGGACTTTGGTTTTGAATGCCAGTTTTTACTTAGGATTTTCTGTGGAAAGAAGAGAGGAAGGAAGAAAGGGAAAAAAATCTCTGACACATTTGATAGGTTGCTACAGAGAGAAGGGAAAAAAGGATGGAGTCCAGAAAAGACTTAACAGAGGCACCCTGGGCAGTGAGGGGAAGAGGAAGGCAGCATGAGGGGCTTGTCCCAGCAGGCGGGTGGGGTGGGTGGGTGGGTGGGTGACAGGGAGGCAGAAGCACTAAATGTGACATCTGCACTCTTGATTATGACCCCCGATGCCTCATGGCCTGGCCCCTGCCTATTGCTCCAGAGTTACTGCCACTACCCTTGATTTCTGTGCACCAAGATGCCCCATGGGATCCCACCTCAGGACCTTTGAACTGCTTCTGGGCATGCTCTTTTTAAAAACCAGCACTTACTAATGCCTGTTCATCCTTTGGTGACTTCTCTGACTCCTGTCTACCAATTTGAGGGGTAGACAGCACAGAGCCATGTCATCCCACCTCCAAAATGTAGTGAACATTCAAATATATGCTAAGTGCACGGAGCCTAGGGGTGGCACCTTAACTAGTGAGGTGCTCCTGAGGCCTGTGGGAGCCCCTTATCTGGTCCATGGTGAACTCAGCACCCTGAACCTTTCCTTCATGACCTTATTATGGTCTGCAGTTATATATCCGGGTGACTGTTTGGCTGATGTCTTTATCCCACTAAATGGTCAGCTACCTGGGAGAGCAGGGCTATGTGCTTGCTGGCGGTGGTATCTGCAGCCTGGTGGAACCAGCGACCCGGACGGTGCCTGGTGTTTGGTGAATGGCTTTCCTCCTTGTTTTGCTGGGGAATGCCTGGCTGTGCAGCTGGAATTTTGCTTTCAACTCACACGATTCCTCGGGGTGGGGTTGGAGGGGTTGGAGGTCATGGCCATTTCTAGAAAACTGTTCCCAAGCTACTCAAGGTTGTGTTTTCTTCCTAGACCAAGATTCAGAACCCACCGGGTTTGAAGTCCTCCAGTACTAGAACAACGAAGCCTGTCCCCTGCTGACCAGAGTGGGGTTTGGGCTCTTTTGAGAGGTGCATGCTGGCTGGGTCTGAGTTGTTGTCAGCTCTGATTGTGTAGGACAATGGAGACTTCTAGCCTGTGGGATGTGGGGTGGGGCAGAAGCAGGGCCCGGGCACCTAGAAGACCTGTCATTCCCTGTTCAGCCACTAAAAGGCACTGTTACTCCACAGGGCAGACCAGGCTGATGGGGCCAGCACTGGGGAGCCACTAGGAGAAGTCACACTAGCTGCATTCACTGAGCGCCAACCGTGCGCTAGGCACTTTGAATACTCTAATTCCATAATCATGCAAGAGGGGGATGATGAAATCTATTTACAGGTGAGGGAAAGAGGACCAACGAGCTTAAATGATGTTCTCCAGGTCTTATGGCTCATAAATGGCAGGGGCAGATTTCAGAACCAGGCCTGCCTAAATCTACAATTAGCGCCTTCCCCCCACCTCTCCCCGGGTGCTCCCTCAGTCATGGTGCCAAATCTCCTCCATTTGTCCTCGTAGCAGTCACCTAGCCAGGCTGCTGTTCACAGCACAAGCTCCCCTCGCTCAGCTGTCTCAATGTGGCCAATTTTGACTATCCAAATTAATATAGGGGCCACTGCTTGGGTCTAAAATCTAAAGCTGGGTTATTAAAATGACTTACTTGAGTCCAGAGACCATTCTTCTGTGTGTGGGGAGGAGGAGGAGAAGAACATCAGATTTGCCCTTCTGGAGCCCTCTCCTCTAGTCTTGTTCTGCAGTCCCTCCCCCTCTTCCTGCCAGCCCACACACAGCTGCCACAGATCTTCCCCACAGACTTGATCAGCTCAGCAGCCAGGAGAAACTTCCTTAGCCAGCACCCAAGGCCCTTAATGAGCTGGAAACATGCCTCGTCACCTTATGGCTAACCCCCACAACCAATAGCTAACAGACCCGCACTCTCAGCTCCAGCCCCCTGAGCTCAGCACTCCTGCCTCTCAGAGCTGAGATCTGCCCCCTGCACAGCAGATTCCTGAAGCTTCCCACGAGGCAGTGTGAGGATGAATAATCCCAGTCAGCTGTTGGTACAGTGCTGACCCACAGGAGGAGCCCAGGAACGTTCCTTGTCTTCCCTTTCTCAGCCCGTGGAAATATGCAAGGACAATACAACTGCAAAGGCAGATGTATGTGGTGTAACGCTCCATACGGTGCAATCCCCATGTAAACATTTCCAGATATAGGCAAATGTCCTCAGGCTGACACCAAGGAAGGCATTTCCTGTACTGTTTTTTTTTTTTTTTTTTCTTTCTTCCTGTGCCCATGGTGAGCTCCAAGGTGACTGAAACACCATCTGGAGGCTAACCTCCTTGAGGACAGGGACAGGGTTGTGAACCTCTGAGCAACCTCATAGGCCCAACACAGCACTGGGTCTTCAACAGTGTCCTTTCTAGGAATGTGAGTTGGTCAATTAATTATTGACTGGGTGCATGAGAAGCTGTAGGGATGGGCAGATCATTTCAGGGTATCATCATCTGAAACAGAAACAGCATTGTTTTAAGAGCCTGTCTGTCAAAGCCCAGGAGAAATATGGTACTTTCTTCTTCCTGTTGCAGGAGATGGCTATTAAAACCACAGGGCAGGGGCGCCTGGGTGGCTCAGTCAGTTAGGCATCTGACTTCAACTCAGGTCATGATCTCATAGTTCGTGAGTTCAAGCCCCTCATGGGGCTCTGTGTTCTTAGCACAGAGGCTGCTTTAGATCCTCTGTCCCCCTCTCTCTGCCCCTCCCTTGCTTACATGCTTTCTCTCTTTAAATAAACATTAAAAAAAAAAAAAAAACAAAAACAAGCCCGCAGGATGTGAGACCCAGAAGGGCCATGAGATGACAAGTCAGCAGCTTGATTTGACCACTTCGGGCTGGTGGGGCTGACGTGCTTAGATGTGGAGATTGCAAGCCTTGGCCCACTCTCTTCTCTTGTTGCTGTTTAGTCTTCTTATTCTGAGGTTCAAAGAGACAAAGCCTATGGGATGTTTTTCCAGGTTCCAGAAAGTCCAAAACAGGCCGGGATCATGGGACTCAGCCTCTTCCAGGAAGGGCCGCACCAGATGAAAAACCAGGACTGTGTTCTTGGCCCAGGCTCTCCTGACTCCAGCCCAATCTCAGTCGCACCCTCACACATTGAATGGGGGGTGGTTCCAGCCCCCCAATTCATCCAATGTCACATGGAACCTGCCTACTCTGGGTTGGCATGTCGGGTAAATTTTCTGATCAATATGCATTTGCCTATCCCTGTTCCACAACTAAGGCACCTTTGGTGTCATGGTGGTCTGCCTGTATCTGTTCTTATTGTCTCATGTCATCAAATGCTCTGTACACATTGTGAACATGTTTTATACAGCTTATTCTTGCCTTCTCGGTAACTGTTCTAGGTCATTTAAACCACCGGTAATGATGGTCTTGTGTACTTTACCTCCTTTAGGTTTTTTTTTTTATTAAAAAAATGTTTAATATTTATTTTTGAGACAGAAAGAGAGACAGAGCACGAGCAGGGGAGATCAGAGAGAGAGCGAGACACAGAATCTGAAGTAGGCTCCAGGCTCTGAGCTGTCAGCACAGAGCCTGACGTGGGGCTCAAGCCCATGAACCGTGAGATCATGACCTGAGCCAAAGCTGGACACTTAACCAACTGAGGCACCTGGGCACCCCTACCTTACCTCCTTTAGAACCACAGGAAAAACTGATTGCTATTATTCCCTTGAGAGTTATATAATAATAATAACTCTCAAGGATCTTGTCCAAGGTCACCCTGTAAGGTACTGATGGGCAGGGCCTCTGGCTCCTATATCAGCAGCCCTAATAGGAAGAGTTCTGTCCATGGTGTGTGGCCACCCCAGGGGCTACATGCAAATGTGTTGCTGTGGCTGCAAAGACGAAGCGACTGCAGAAGCTGGTGCAGGTGGGCAGGTGGGTATGGGCAGGGTTGGCCAACCAGGCAGGAATGCCAGAGTGGGGGGCTGCTGTAGGATTGAGATGTAGGGGCTGGAAAGAGCTCCTCAGCTCCCTCTGCTGCCTGAAAGCCCCTTAACAGAGAATAAAGTCTTCTAGTCCATGGTGAGAGGTGTGTGTGCACATCCCAGCTCTGTTCCCTATTGACTGTACACTTACCCTCTGTGAGACTGTTTAATTATCTGCTGGAGATTTAAATAATATCTATTGTATAAGGTTGTGTGGATTCAATTTAAAAATACACAGGATGGGCTTAGCACTCCGCCTAGCTTATACCATTCAATAAGCAGTTGTTACTGTAAACATGCAGATGGTGGGGGGAGGGCTGTGCTGCTTTTTATGTTTCTGTTTTGCTTCTCTGGGTTTTCAGCAAATTAACACATACTGATTTTATAATAAAAAATGATTTTTTTTTAAGAGAGAGAGAGAGAGTGCAAGCAGGGGAGAGGGGCAGAGGGAGAGAGAGAGAGAGAGAGAGAGAGAAAGAGAGAGAGAGAGAGAGAGAGAAAGTCCCAAGCAGGCCCTATGCTCAGCGTGGCGTCTGATGCGGGGGCTCAATCCCACGACACTGGGATCATGACTTGAGTCAAAATCAAGAGTCAGATGCCGACTGAGCCACCTAGGCACCCCAAAGGGATTATTTTTGATAATAATACCTACATTTGCTTTCGATCTACAACAGAAATGACTTACTGACAGAACAGAGAAAGACATCTAGATTCTTCTTTTAGGAAGTGTCTTTCCCTCCTGGGGAGAGCTAGCTTTTCATAGATTTTAACTACTGTCTCCAGTACAAGGCTAGATGCCCACCCCCACCATAGCATCGAGCAGGCTCTGACCCACACACCCTGAGCTTCAGAAGCTTGGACTGGTTGGTTGTGAAAGGTTGTGAAAGCTGAGGGGGAGGTGCCTTGGGGACGAGGCTTCACAGTCATGGTCCGTTGTGACAGAAAGAAGTGAGCTCTCTGCTGGTTGTGACTCAGCTCTGTTGCTTCAAAATGCACAGAGATTTTACACTCTTTCCAAACAAAGGCTAAAATGTTAGGAGGTCCTGCCTCAGAGTGTGGGGCTATGAGAACAGTGGACAATGGAGACAACAGAAGAGGCTGCCCTCGGAAGGGGGCAGGTGCTCACACGGACATGGGAGCCACAGGTGCCCAAGAGGAGAGCCGATGTCACCTGAGTGGTGCTTCCTCTCCATCTTGGCGTCCAAGAGGCCACTGTTCCCTTGGCAAGGCCTAGGATGCCAGGCTGAAGGAGGCCGCGGTGCTCCCTCTGTATTGAGGTCTAGGTCAGCAGCTCACTTTAGAGAGTCAGTGGGAAACCTATGGCCCGAGCCTTTTAGGAAAGGACAGGGGTGTGGAAGAATGATGAGCAGCTTCAATAGTGGGCAGGGCTCCTCAGAGAGGCGTGGAGACCCTGGCTTTTCAGAGGGCATGCCCTCAGCATCGTCAGGGCTTGCGAGGCTCAAGAGCAGGCGGCTGCATCCTGTTGTGCCTTTGAGGCCAAGGGGGTGTCCACACATGTGTCCCCAGAACCCAACACCATTTGTCCCGGTGGGCTACCTGTCAAGCATGCATAAAGCCAGGGCACCCTACCCTCTTCCACACAGCTTGGCCTCCCTGCCGCTGCCCCTCCAAGACCGAGTGTTTGCAAAGAGTAGTGCATTTCAGGAAATGAGCTGCCTGGGGCTGCTCAAGATATAGCAATGCTTCCCAACAACAACAAAAGCATTAATACCCACACGTATAGGAAAAGGAAGATATGATCGAAATTTGTACTAGGGCTTAAATAAAGAAGGGCAGCACCTTTCCAGAGAGAAAAATGGTAGAATCTGTCTGCATTTATCAAACACCTATTATATGCCTGATACTCTGTGTATATTTTTGTTTAATTATCACAGCAACGCTATCAACTAAGTGCCATTATATCAGCTAAGTATCATTATCCCCATTCTACAGATGAAGAACCTGAGGCTCAAATGGCTTTTGTTAACTGCCTCAAGTGCACCCAGTTAGTTGGGAATTGAATCCAGATCTGTCTAATCTGTAGTCTTTCCAACAACTTTTCAAGTTAACTGGAAGGGTAGAATGGGAATGGGATGGGGGTGAGGTGGTTGAGAAAGGGAGAATGGTAAGCAGAGCACTGGGGACACTGGACATTTAAAAAAGCCAAGAGGGCACAGAGAAGGGGAGAAGGCAGAGTGGGGATGGAAGTATCTCAGAGCAAATTTGACCAATTTCAAAATGTCCAGATGGAAGGTGAACATCTGTAGCCTCAGTGACTCAATTTAATCTTCATTTAAAAAATCTGTTTTAGGGGTGCCTGGGTGGCGCAGTCGGTTAAGCGTCCGACTTCAGCCAGGTCACGATCTCGCGCTCCGTGAGTTCGAGCCCCGCGTCGGGCTCTGGGCTGATGGCTCAGAGCCTGGAGCCTGTTTCCGATTCTGTGTCTCCCTCTCTCTCTGCCCCTCCCCCGTTCATGCTCTGTCTCTCTCTGTCCCCAAAATAAATAAACGTTGAAAAAAAAAATCTGTTTTATTTTCCAGCTTCTCTTTGTGAACACAGGCACATAAGCATGTATTGCTAGGTTTGCAAACCAGGTCTCAGCTCCCCTGCGTGGCTGAGAGCATGCATGCTGAGCTGTCTGCTGCTGGTCTGTCCCAGCCCCGCACAGGGGCCATTTGAGGCTGCAAGAGATTCCACAGCAGATCCCAGAGCCTCCTCTCTCCTCCACCCTTTCCCATTTGCAGACCCATCATTTCATCTCAGGTGGAGGTACAGGTCCAGTATTTTCTTCGCCAATTAAATTTCCTTTAAGGTGTGTTTCATTCAGGCCAGGTATACTTGTTCATTATATATGAGCAGGCAGCTGAGGGACTATCAAAATCCAGAATTCGCTTGGATTTGCACAAAGTCACTGTATGGACCAGTGGCATACACGGTTGCTTCACAAATACATGAATTTCCCTGAAACTCAGAACTGACCTATCTGATTACAGGTATTGAATGGAACAAGTGACTGGGCCAGGGTCACATGGGCTCCCAAAGA